TGCAAGGAGTAAAGCAGTAGTGAGGGATAATGTCAGACACTTAAGCTGAGACAAGCAAAATTTTACAGCCTAGCTACTTTCTGAATTTTAGAAGTAGAATCGACAAGTGTTACAAGTATTGGTAAGCTTAGAATTACTGGTATCTACCGGTATTTATTAGCAGTATGAATACTTAGAAGTGGGGGCACACACACACACACACACAATATGGAAATGACATAGCAGCGAAAGCCAAATCTGACCCGAAACTGTTGTACAGCCACATCAGGAGGAAAACAACAATCAAGGACCAGGTAATCAGGCTAAGGAAGGAAGGAGGAGAGACAACAAGAAATGACTGTGAAGTATGTGAGGAACTCAACAAGAGATTCAAAGAAGTGTTCACAGAGGAGACAGAAGGGGCTCCAGAAAGACGGAGAGGTGGGGCACACCACCATGTGCTGGACACAGTGCACACAACCAAGGAAGAAGTGAAGAGGCTTCTGAGTGAGCTAGATACCTCAAAGGCAATGGGGCCAGATAACATCTCCCCATGGGTATTGAGAGAGGGAGCAGAGGCACTAGTGTACCCCTAACAACAATATTCAATACATCTATCGAAACAGGGAGATTGCCTGAGGCATGGAAGACAGCAAATGTAGTCCCAATCTTTAAAAAAGGAGACAGACATGAAGCATTAAACTACAGACCAGTGTCACTGACATGTATAGTATGCAAAATCATGGAGAAGATTATCAGGAGAAGAGTGGTGGAACACCTAGAAAGGAACGATCTCATCAACAGCAGCCAACATGGTTTCAGGGACGGGAAATCCTGTGTCACAAACCTACTGGAGTTCTATGACATGGTGACAGCAGTAAGACAAGAGAGAGAGGGGTGGGTGGATTGCATTTTCTTGGACTGCAAGAAATTGGTGCAAAAACTGGAGGACCAAGCAGGGATAACAGGGAAGGCACTACAATGGATCAGGGAATACTTGACAGGAAGACAGCAGCGAGTCATGGTACGTGGCGAGGTGTCAGAGTGGGCACCTGTGACCAGCGGGGTCCCACAGGGGTCAGTCCTAGGACCAGTGCTGTTTCTGGTATTTGTGAACGACATGACGGAAGGAATAGACTCTGAGGTGTCCCTGTTTGCAGATGACGTGAAGTTGATGAGAAGAATTCACTCAATCAAAGACCAGGCAGAACTACAAAGGGATCTGGACAGGCTGCAGACCTGGTCCAGCAATTGGCTCCTGGAGTTCAATCCCACCAAGTGCAAAGTCATGAAGATTGGGGAAGGGCAAAGAAGACCGCAGACGGAGTACAGTCTAGGGAGCCAGAGACTACAAACCTCACTCAAGGAAAAAGATCTTGGGGTGAGTATAACACCAGGCACATCTCCTGAAGCGCACATCAACCAAATAACTGCTGTAGCATATGGGCGCCTAGCAAACCTCAGAACAGCATTCCGACATCTTAATAAGGAATCATTCAGGACCCTGTACACCGTGTACGTTAGGCCCATATTGGAGTATGCGGCACCAGTTTGGAACCCACACCTAGCCAAGCACGTAAAGAAACTAGAGGAAGTTCAAAGGTTTGCAACAAGACTAGTCCCAGAGCTAAGAGGTATGTCCTACGAGGAGAGGTTAAGGGAAATCAACCTGACGACACTGGAGGACAGGAGAGATAGGGGGGACATGATAACGACATACAAAATACTGAGAGGAATTGACAAGGTGGACAAAGACAGGATGTTCCAGAGATTGGACACAGTAACAAGGGGACACAGTTGGAAGCTGAAGACACAGATGAATCACAGGGATGTTAGGAAGTATTTCTTCAGCTGCAGAGTAGTCAGTAAGTGGAATAGTTTGGGAAGTGATGTAGTGGAGGCAGGATCCATACATAGCTTTAAGCAGAGGTATGATAAAGCTCACGGCTCAGGGAGAGTGACCTAGTAGCGATCAGTGAAGAGGCGGGGCCAGGAGCTCGGACTCGACCCCCGCAACCTCAACTAGGTGATTACTAGGTGAGTACAGTACACAACTAGCACTATCAGACACAGTAAGACACAGTACACAACTAGCCCTCACACACAGTAAGACACAGTACACAACTAGCACTATCACACACAATAAGACACAGTACACAACTAGCATTATTTATTTATTTACAATAGTGGGTTGCATTGCAAAGAGAGCCTCTATTATGCCTAGGCATTATGGGCCAACTTAACATTATTGGCTTACAGACTACTTAACACTAAGGATTATATCATAGTTGCACAGTAGGATCGTAATCATTTCATAGTTGTACAGTAGATTATTAATTATAAGTGAATTTAATTTGTATAAGACAAAAGATATAATCATATATTACAAAAATGTTTTTTTGTGAAAACAATGATTCAATTATATTCCTGTCAACAATGGATAAAAGGTTCAAAGTGATTGTTGAAGTTATGATGTGAGAGTACATAGGTGAGTATGTGTGTACTGAGTATTTAGCATTTAGTCTAGGGTGACTAAGTGGCTTGTGAGAAGAGTTTTAAATTGATTTTCAGACCGGGTTACTTTAATATCTTCTGGTAATGAATTCCATATTTTGGGGCCCTTTATGTGCATAGAGTTTTTACACAGTGTGATATGGACACAAGGTACATCAATAAGAGATAAGAACATAAGAATGTAGGAACACTGCAGAAGGCCTACTGGCCCATACGAGGCAGGTCCTTATCAAAACGACATCTACCTAAAGCTACCCAAGTGTCTTGTGTTATGGTCATGTGTCCTGTTAAGGTTGGTGAGGAGAAGTTTGAGTGGAGGGTTTATATTTGCATGTATTGTTCTGTGTACGTAGTAGGCACATGAATAAGTATGGATGTTCTTAATGGTGAGCAGATTCAGACTTTTGAAAATTGGTGGAATATGCTGTCTGGAGTGGGAATTTGTTATCATTCTTACTGCTGCCTTTTGTTGGGTTATTATAGGTCTTAGGTGATTGGATGTTGTTGATCCCCATGCACAAATTCCATGTGTAAGATAAGGGTATATGAGTGAATGGTACAGTGCCAGGAGAGCTGATTGTGGAACGTAGTACCTTATCTTTGATAGTATGCCTACAGTCTTGAAGATTTTCTTGGTGATTTGTTGTATATGTGTCTGGAACTTAAGGCTACTGTCAAGGTGGATACCTAGGAACTTTCCCTCTCTAAGTCTTGTGACTGATGATCTGTTTAGCGTTATGTTAATTGGATCATTTGCAGCCTTGTTTCCAAACTGAATGAAATAAGTTTTACCAGTATTCAGGGTAAGTTTATTTCTCTTCATCCAGGCAGATATTTTCTGTAATTCAGCATTGACTGTGTTTGCTAGTATGACTGTGTTTGGGTGGGAAAAGACATACGTAGTGTCATCTGCAAATAATATGGGTTTGAGTAGCTGTGATGCATTCGGTAGATCATTGATGTAGATGAGAAGGAGGAGTGGTCCAAGAACACTTCCTTGTGGGACTCGTACTGTGATTGGTTGGGTGGAAGAGTTTGCACCGTTTACATGTACATATTGAGTTCTGTTACTAAGGTATGACCATAGTGTGTTATTTTGGGGAACAGCAGTTCATGGTCGACTGTATCAAAAGCTTAACATAAATCAATGAAAATGCCCAGCGGGACTTCTTTCTTTTCGAGTGTGGTATATATTAGTTATAGCATATGTATGATAGCATCATTTGTGTTTTAATTATTCCAGAATCCAAACTGACAAGGGTTTGATATGTTGTGTGAGACGAGGTAGGAATAGATCTATCTATGAGTTAATTTTTCAAAGATTTTAGATAGCAGTGGTAAGATAGATATTGGTCTATAATTATTCAAGTCAGCTTGGTCACCTCCTTTATGGATCGGAGTGACCCCTCACTATTTTGAGGATTGTTGGGAAGGTAGATGATTCAATGGATTTGTTAAAGAGTTTTGCAATAATTGGTGAAAATAATTTGGGAACTTTTTTGTACATAAAAACAAGCAAATTGTTTGTCTCCTGCCTTGTTTTTAAGGGTGTTTATGATGAGCGTTACTTCTATTGGGTTGGGTGGAGCTAGGAATAGCGTATTTGAGTAGGTATCTATGAGGTAGTCTGATGGACGGGTGTTTGTGTTCTGTATTTTGTTCGCTAGATTTTTTCCTATGGTGGAGAAGAAAACATTGAGTCTGTTTGTTGTTTCAGTTGGTGTAAGAAAGGGTTCATCTGATTTTGTTAGTTTGATTGTTTTGTTTTTGGATAACGTTTTAGTACCAGTAAGCACAGTTAGCACAGTAAGACACAGTACTCAACTAGCACTATCGCACAGAGTAGGACACAGTATACAACTAGCACCATCACACACAGTAAGACACAGTACAAAACTAGCACCATCACACACAGTAAGACACAGTACACAACTAGCACCGTCACACACAGTAAGACACAGTACACAACTAGGATCATTACACACAGTAAGACACAATACACAAGTAGCACCATCACACACAGTAATACACAGTACACAATTAGCACCATCACACACACTAAGACACAGCACACAACTACCACTATCACACACAGTAAGACACAGTACACAACTAGCACCATCACACACAGAAAGACACTGTACACAACTAGCACTGTTACACACAGCAAGACACAGTACACAACTAGCACTATCATACACAGTATGACACAGTACTCAACTATCACCATCACAACAGTAAGACACATTACTCAACTAGCACCATGACATACAGTAAGACACAGTACACAACTAGCACCATGACACACAGTAAGATACAGTACACAACTAGCACAGTCACACACTGTAAGGCACAGCACACAACTAGCACCATCACACACAGTAAGACACAATACACAACTAGGACCATGACACACAGTAAGACACAGTACACAACTAGCACAGTCACACATTATAAGGCAGAGTAAACAACTAGCACCGTCACACAGTGCACAGTGTAGCACTTACCGAGCTTTTTAAGTAGCCTTAGTGTGGAGGTGACAGTGTGGTGTAGTTGTGGCAGGAGACATCCAGCATGGTGGTCACTCACCACAGCCAGCTGGAGGAATCTAGTCTTGGGACACTGTTGTAGCAGCCTCACAGCTTCACCAGTAAGACAACCCTTGAACACCTCCAGGTGACTCCTGTACCAGGGTAAAACACTGATGAACGCCTCACTATTACTGACTCACCACCTACACTGTATATTACACCAAGTGGTAGTGAACAATGTTACACTGTATATTACACCAAGTTGTAGTGAACAATGTTACACTGTATATTACACCAAGTTGTAGTGAACAATGTTACACTGTATATTACACCAAGTGGTAGTGAACAATGTTACACTGTATATTACACCAAGTGGTAGTGAACAATGTTACACTGTATATTACACCAAGTGGTAGTGAACAATGTTACACTAAGTTACATCAAGTGTCAGTTGTTATGCAGGGTTCTGCATGACATCGTAATGTACATATAGTGGAGAAGTGTGCCATAATAGTATGAATGTTATAATTGTAAAGAATAATTTTATAATTCATAATGTGCATTTGGGGCACTGTAAAGTATTCTAACTGTAATTATAAAGAAATCCTGCTAGGGATTTATTTTCTAAGGGTGTTTGGGTACGCTGGGTAAGCGTGGCTAGGGGCAGTCACGTGGAGTCAGCATGGTGTGGAGGCTGGCGTTGGAGATGCTGTATATTTAAGCTAAGTTTGTAGTCGAGTACTCCTTTTGTTTAGCTAACCCCAAGCCATAGGCTCTTCTATGGCTTACCTGTATGCCCACCTAGGCTCTGACATGGGCAGGGTGCTGTGGGATGAGTGAGGAAATAAGAAATGAGGTTGGGAGTGGAGTAGTGACAGCCTGGTGCTGACTAGGCCTAGTGGTTATGGTGGCTGGACCTCCAGCCAGTTCTTTCTTGTGTACCCTCATTTGGGCGTTTAGGATTAAGGTGTTTCTAGAGTGTGTATATAGTGTTATATTGAATAAATAGATATATTTTCCTAACTGGGATTTTTGCCTAACCCTCTGTTAACCAACCCATTGAAGTAACACATACTGGTTTAGCGTTTTCTGTTTTGACTGGGATAGCCCTGGGTGGCCTGTTTATGCTTGAGATGAGTGTAACTTTCACCTTTGCCCTTAGACAAGGCTCTAGCTCCCAGCTATCCCACTTTTCTGTGTAACAGCAGTGAACAATGTTACACTATATTACACCAAGTGGTAGTGAATAATGTTACACTGTATATTACACCAAGTGGTAGTGAGCAATGTTACACTGTATATTACACCAAGTGGTAGTGAACAATGTTACACTGTATATTACACCAAGTGGTAGTGAACAATGTTACACTGTATATTACACCAAGTGGTAGTGAACAATGTTTACACTATATATTACACCAGTGGTAGTGAACAATGTTACACTGTATATTACACCAAGGTGTTAGTGAACAATGTTACAACTGTATATACACCAAGTGGTAGTGAACAATGTTACACTGTATATTACACCAAGTGGTAGTGAAATATGTTACACTGTATATTACACCAAGTGGTAGTGAAATATGTTACACTGTATATTACACCATGGTAGTGAACAATGTACAAATGTATATGACACCAAGTGGTAGTGAACAATGTTACAATGTATATTACACCAAGTGGTAGTGAAATAGGGTACACTGTATATTACACCAAGTGGTAGTGAACAATTTACACTGTATATTACACCAAGTGTAGTGAAATATGTTACACTGTATATTACAACCAAATGTAGTGAAATATGTTTACACTGTATATTACACCAAGTGGTAGTGAACAATGTTTACACTGTATATTACACCAAGTGGTTAGTGAAATATGTTACACTGTAAAATTACACCAAGTGGTAGTGAACAATTGTTACACTGTATATTACACCAAGTGTAGTGAACAATGTTACACTGTATATTACACCAAGTGGTAGTAAAATATGTTACACTGTATATTACACCAAGTGGTAGTGAACAATGTTACACTGTATATTACACCAAGTGGTAGTGAAATATGTTACACTGTATATTACACCAAGTGGTAGTGAAATATGTTACACTGTATATTACACCAAGTGGTAGTGAACAATGTTACACTGTATATTACACCAAGTGGTAGTGAAATATGTTACACTGTATATTACACCAAGTGGTAGTAAAATATGTTACACTGTATATTACACCAAGTGGTAGTGAACAATGTTACACTGTATATTACACCAAGTGGTAGTGAACAATGTTACACTGTATATACAAAACAATAATTGTTTACATAATTATAAGTGATCTTACATGGGAATAATAAAGTGATCTTACATGGGTATAATATAAGTGATCTTACATGGGTATAATATAAGTGATCTTACATGGGCATAATATAAGTGATTGTACATGGGTATAATAGAAGTGATCTTACATGGGTATAATATAAGTGATCTTACATGGGTATAATATAAGTGATCTTTCATTGGTATAATATGGAAGACTCGGCTTAACCACAGAAAGATACATCATAATTTACATATGCAAGATCCCAGATGTACTGTGCAGGTGGTGCAGCATTCCCACAATGAACAACACAAGACTGTGCAGGTGGTGCAGCATTCTCAAAAATATCAGCACAAGAATGTGCAGGTGGTGCAACATTCCCACAATGATCAGCACAAGACTGTGCAGGTGGTGCAACATTCCCACAATGATCAGCACAATACTTTGCAGGTGGTGCAACATCTCCACAATGATCAGCACAAGACTGTGCAGGTGGTGCAACATTCCCACAATAATCAGCACAATACTGTGCAGGTGGTGCAACATCTCCACAGTTATCAGCACAAGACTGTGCAGGTGGTGCAACATTCCCACAATGATCAGCACAAGACTGTGCAGGTGGTGCAACATTCCCACAATGATCAGCACAAGACTGTGCAGGTGGTGCAACATTCCCACAATGATCAGCAAAAGACTGTGCAGGTGGTGCAACATTCCCACAATGATCAGCACAAGAATGTGCAGGTGGTGCAACATTCCCACAATGATCAGCACAAGACTGTGCAGGTGGCACAACATTCCCACAATGATCAGCACAAGACTGTGCAGGTGGCGCAACATTCCCACAATGATCAACAATAGACTGTGCAGGTGGTGCAACATTCCCCCAATGATCAACAATAGACTGTGCAGGTGGTGCAACATTCCCACAATGATCAGCAGAAGACTGTGCAGGTGGTGCAACATTCCCCCAATGATCAACACTAGACTGTGCAGGTGGTGCAACATTCCCACAATGATCAGCACAAGACTGTGCAGGTGGTGCAACATTCCCACAATGATCAGCACAAGACTGTGCAGGTGGTGCAACATTCCCACAATGATCAGCACAAGACTGTGCAGGTGGTGCAACATTCCCACAATGATCAGCACAAGACTGTGCAGGTGGTGCAACATTCCCACAATGATCAGCACAAGACTGTGCAGGTGGTGCAACATTCCCACAATGATCAGCACAAGACTGTGCAGGTGGTACAACATTCCCACAATGATCAGCACAAGACTGTGCAGGTGGCGCAACATTCCCACAAAGATCAGCACAAGACTGTGCAGGTGGTGCAACATTCCCCCAATGATCAACAATAGACTGTGCAGGTGGTGCAACATACCCACAATGATCAGCACAAGACTGTGCAGGTGGTGCAACATTCCCACAATGACCAGCACAAGACTGTGCAGGTTGTGCAACATACCCACAATGATCAGCACAAGACTGTGCAGGTGGTGCAACATACCCACAATGACCAGCACAAGACTGTGCAGGTGGTGCAACATACCCACAATGACCAGCACAAGACTGTGCAGGTGGTGCAACATACCCACAATGACCAGCACAAGACTGTGCAGGTGGTGCACTAAAAATTCCCACAATGACCAGCACAAGACTGTGCAGGTTGTGCAACATACCCACAATGACCAGCACAAGACTGTGCAGGTGGCGCAACATTCCCACAAAGATCAGCACAAGACTGTGCAGGTGGTGCAACATTCCCACAATGATCAGCACAAGACTGTGCAGGTGGTGCAACATTCCCACAATGATCAGCACAAGACTGTGCAGGTTGTGCAACATTCCCACAATGATCAGCACAAGACTGTGCAGGTTGTGCAACATACCCACAATGATCAGCACAAGACTGCAGGTGGTGCAACATACCCTGATTGGTTCTCAGACTCCATAACAGCTCTGCCCACTGTAATGATGACACATCGCGAAATGAAAGCAAAATGCACAGCTTACAATGTGTGGTTTGCATATTATGAAATATTAATTACAAAGAAAGTCATTAGCATCCCTAGGCATTTCGGGCCGACTTATACTATTTCCTACTGACTGTTCTGTATTGACACAGGTTATGGAACAGTGCATTATAATATTCATTAAAGAGATTGTTATTAATAAGATTAATGATAGTGAGGCAGTACTAAACATATAACAATATTAAAATCAGTAACTTTAGCAATTGTCATGGTTTTATCTCGGCATCATACACTGTTCCTATAAATACTCCTATATTGGCTAAGTATTTCAGACAAGCTTAGAACTAAGGTTTAAGTTGTTGTGATACATTTGGAAGATCACTGATGTATAAGAGGAAGGGCAGGGGACCAAGGACACTTCCATGTGGTACTCCAGTATCCTGTGGTCATGTTGATGTGGTAGTGTCCTTAATAGAGAGTTATTGATGTCTGTTCCCTAGAGTATACCTGTTGAGGGTTTTGGGGGTCAACACCCCCACGGTCCGGTCTGTGACCAGGCCGTTACTGTTGGCCACACACTACCTGATGTACCAGCCAGAGCCCGGCTGGTCAAGTACAGACTTTAGGTGCCTGTTCAGTGTCTTCTTGAAGACAGCAGGGGTCTATTGGTAATCCCCCTTATTTATGCTGGTAGGCAGTTGAACAGTCTTGGGCTCCTGACACTTATTTTGTTGTCTTTTATCGTGCTAGTGGCACCCCTGCTTTTCACTGGGGGATGTTGCATCATCTGCCGAGTTGTTTGCTTTCATAGGGAGTGATTTTCGTTTGCAATTTTTTCACTAATCCCTCTAGGA